AGCTGAAAAGGTAGATGGGGAGAGGGAAAAATAGGACTAAGGGAAAGTGTGGGTGTTAAAGAGGGGCTCTGGGTGTGGGGAGCCAGACGATGGCTCCGGGGAAGCTAGAGAAGTAGTAGGTGCTGGAAGCTGGAGCAAACCGCAGGAGCTGGGAAGCTGCAGGGGAGGGGGGAAGCCTGAAAACAGAGAGACGGACAGCAGAAAATCACAGAAAAAACAGCAGGAGAGACTGAAAGGCAGCAGGAAAGCAGAGAAAGGCAGCAGAAAGTCACAGGAAAAAGGCAGTAGGAGCATGGGACGCAGGGGGACAGCAGAAAATCACAGGAAAAGTGGCAGAAGAGACTGAGGGGCAGCGGGAAAGTAGAAAGAGGCAGCAGAAAGTCACAGGGAAAAGGCAGTAGGAATTGAGAGGAGATTGGGAAACTAGTGGAGAGGGGTGGGGGCTGGAATTGAGAGAGAGAAAGAATGAGGGTGGAATTTAAGATAAGGAAGGGACTGGGATTCAGTAAAACATGAATCCCAGTCCCTTTGCAACCCCGAGTTGCAAAAATTGCAACTCGGGGTTGCAAATGACAGTGGTTTTATTGAACAGGGGAGATGGTGACACAATGCCAGATTGGTTCCTTCTGTCTGTCTCTCTCTGTCTCTCTCTCTCTCTCACACACACACACACACCCATGGCAGCAGGGGTTAGGTTAAAGAAGCTTGGTGCGGGGGCTGAAGTCCAGGAGGAGAGAGAGAGTCCAAATTGTAGGAGGAGGTGTGCAGGTAAGTATCTACCTATCCAGGCTGGAAAGGGTCCTTGTCCAGAGGGGGGTCACCAGCAGGGCCTCTGGGTGGATAGGTGGTGTGGCATGGTGCTGGTCCAGATGGAAATGGCGTTCCCACTGGGTCCGTCTTCGCTGCCCCTTTTTATAGGGGCAGACCTTGTGTGACCCTAGTGACAGGAGGCATCCTCAGGCAAGGGTCAGCCCCGGGTGTACTGAGCATGTGTGCTCTGTGCGGGGATGTGCAGTTTCTGGTGTTTGTAATGGTGAGAGTTGCTGGTTTTGCAGGGTCCTTTTTCTTTCAAATGCTGGTCTTGTTTCTGTTCCTGGGTGAGGTCCGTGGTTCCTGGGTGAATCAGTGCGAGGTGATGGCCCAGTCAGTAGAGGCCTGCTACCATTGTATTTCAGTCATTTCCAATCATATTCATTCATCTGGGAACCAGTTTACATGGGAGGGGTATGTGACTCATACAGTTGCAACATGGGATGCCCAGGCAGAGGACAGAAGATGGAGGCTTGACATATAAAATGGAAACTTGACATGACTTTGGTTCACTTACAAACACAGGCCTAAAACGTACACTATCCATATGAAACAATAAAAATCAGTATGAAAATGATGATAATACAATATACAACAGTGGATATGCAAAACCAAAAACTTGCTACCAAAATAAAAATGTTTAAAGCTTATCCTACATTTTAGCTTACTTCTACTTATCTATAGAGAAAAGAGAGGGAGAGAAAAAGTCAGAAATGATTGGGGTAGGGGAGGGAATGCGTTTTAAAATAAATAATTTTGAAAAAGAGAACCTGGGGGTTTTGCTACACAAGCAAAGACCTAATACAGTGGAAGTCTTAAGTTAATCTTTTCATGGTGATAGGAAATGAGTCCTGAAGCTAGATTGCATTTTATTAGGTGACGGATTCCTGATACAGAACAGTTGACCAGGTACAATTTATAGTTTGTAGGTAATATCCCTTGTGCTCTAGGAAAGAGGTAAGGAAGTTTGTCTTCCCCTCTCCCTTCTTCCTTTTATAAAGAAAATTCTATGATGCAATGACAGGATATCTAGAGAAGGAAGGGTGCTTAAAGACAAAACCCCCCCAAAAAGCATTTTCCTTTTTAGAGGCCATAGAGGAAAGGTCCTCAAAAAAGTAAGACCTCAGTTTTAATGTATGCTATGGTAATGTATTGTAATAACCATGTCTTAAGATTGCTATAATGCAGTGTAGCATCAGACATGCAGATGGATCTAGATCTGGCCTGCAGTGCTTCTAATTGGCTGGATGACCCATTTCCTGATCCAGGCCATGGGACTTGTTGCTAGAGCTGTTTTGTCAGTGTGGGCCACCACCCAGAGGGTTAATGTTGCTGCTGCTGGCACCTTACACCTCAGTGATTAAAATCGGGGCGGGGGGAGGCAGCAATGGGAAAATGAGACGGGATGAACCATGGCTGCTGACAGTGGTCCAGCAGCTGTGATGAGAAGCACCATGGCCTGGATCAGGATCTGGTCATCAAGCCCTAGGGGCAGATAACCCACTTCCTGGCTGCCAGCAGGGAATATGGCCTACCAGTTTGTTTGAATTTAACACCCCTGCTGTAATCTGTTTACCCTCATGAAATTGCAAGTTAGACTATTTTCATTGCTATTCCTTTATAGGAAACATATTTATGATTTCGAAAGGCATTCCCTTTCCTCCCCTTATGTTCCATTTATAAGTTTTTCACTATGCTGTCCAGTTCAGTGGTTCTCAACCTTTGTAGACTCCAGTCACACTTCTTTGGACTCAGCACCCTTGGAAAAATACAAGCTTTTAGAGCAAATGCAGGCTTCTGGAGTAAAAAAATAAGAGGGTTTATTGCAAGACATCAGTGTGCAATGGGTCAGAACGTTTTTATGTTCTGGATTTCTATTTGAAATTTCTGGCTTTATCTTGTGAATCAAGTGTGTGCACCTAACAGTGCTAATGTTGTGCGACACCCTTGAAAGGATCTCAAAGAACCCAAAGGTGCATGACATCCTGGTTGAAAATCACTCATCTAGATGCTACCAAACTCCTTTTCACATCTCTTAACTGTGTTATAACTGTGTTGAGTAAAACACACTCGGGCCACAGACAGCAGATCAGTAATACATACATGGCTGCAAAAATCTTCACCTTCATGGCACTTACTTTACTTTCTGTAATGAATGTTTGCAAGCCTTCAGCTTCTTCTGTGTTCTCAATACTTAAGTTTTAAGAGGCAAAGTCTAGCTTTCTTCCTGCACTGCAGTGCTAAGCATGAGGCCACAGTTCAGTTTTAATTCAGTACAGGTGGTATGGTTTGATATAAAAATCACTCCTTTTTCTCTTTCATAAAGAATGTGTAAACGGAAGTCATTTTACAATAACTTCTTTTCTTGGACAGAATGTCAAATGTATAATTGCTGTACACATTTTAACAATGTTTTTTTCTTTGTATAGCATAGCTACTAGGCCTGTGTGAATAGGGAAGTATTCGATTCAGATTTGGTGGATTCGGAGGACAGTGATTCGAACAGAATCAGCTTCAGAAGATTTGACACTGATTCGGACAGTTTCGGTGATTCAGATTGGCTGGGGGGGGGGGGGGGGGGGGGGGGGGCGGGCG